CAAACACACAAACAAGACAACGGCTCCGAACACACAAACAGACGACAGGACCCTAAACATTCTCCCTTATGTCAAAAGAACTACAGACCGGATCGGCAGGATATTGAACAAACACAATATCCGAACTATCTACAAACCACTCAAGAAGATAGGACAAATCTTAAGAAACCCCAAAGATCCAAGACCGCCACTCAGTTCCGCAGGAGTATACAGAATACCGTGTTCCTGCGGACAAGTATGCATCGGGGAAACCGGGAGAATGGTAAACCTACGGATAAAAGAACACCAACGAGACGTCAGACTGAAACACGTCACACAGTCGGCACTATCAGAACATAACGTCGAAACAGAACATTAAATACTGTTTGACCAAGCAACCACGATAACCAACACCACATCATACTTCCCAAGAAAATACAGAGAAGCCATAGAAATACAAAAACACCCTAACAATCTAAACAGGGATAATGGCTATAACATAAGTAAGATATGGAAGACCATCCTCCCGACCAGCAAAGACCGACCAAGATTCCACTATCTGTCTCCCCCATCACTCTAACCCCCCTCCCCTCCACCACCAAAAAACTCCCACCTCAACAAGTAGCGTAACATAAAAAGGAAGGACCTGGAGAAACAGCTCAGTATCAGGCTGCTCCTCGCCCTGATGAAGTGGACTGCAAGGTCCACGAAACGTTGGCACATCAAGAATGGACCAAGACATGGAGAAAACCCGCGAAGCACAGATTAGTTATATAGAAAGCACCCATGGAAGCATCAAGAAGATTAACTAAACTTGTCACTTACTCCATTTTATGAGTGTCGATTAACTGTAGTGCGTCAAATTTAGTAAACTAGGATTTATGTGAAATAATATTTATTAACTGAACAGAATATCGTAGCGTTTTGAAGCGCTGAAAATATACTATTTTCCTGCTAAATTTCTCTTAAGAAATATGAGGTTATAATTTTCCTGCTAAATCTCTCTTAGGGAATATGTTAGAAAATTCACTCTTTGCGCGAGACGATACGCGATTTGAATTTATGTATAAACGTAATAGTTTTGATGCGATGTGGCGTATTACTCAACGTGAGGTGAGTTCAAAAGGAAAACGCGGAGACGACGGTTTTCCTTTGGGCAGTACCAGAAAACTTTTCCGGATGCCAAGCATTAGAGTTATTTACCGCAACTCCCATTTTCGGCGTCTACTTGCCACGGCGCAAAATGCGAAGGCAACGCGATACTTATATACAGGACGAGCCATAAAGGCCGCCATAAATTATACCCTTGATAAAAGTAGCCATATTTAATGCCGGCCACCCGCAGGGTACACCTGAATACGAATTCATTCGTCATGACAGTGACAGTACACTTTATCCACACAATACGATGCGAATTCAAGAATCGCGCGCACTTTTCGGCTCGGAATTACGGTATATTTGTGTTTCCGGGCATCTCGCTTCTTATTTTCCGTGAAATCCAGTGGGATCAACTTGGATAAGCATGAGAGTCGTGAAATATAAAAATTATCATAATTCTTTTCAATTTTATTTACCGTATCTTCAGTATTAAAAGATTCTTCTGCGATTAATTTTTAATGCGAAGTTTGTCGTTTGTAAATAAACTTGATTTAGTTGCTATAATAGAGTCAAATAAATAATAGGATTGCTAATTGCAATAATGCATTTTTATAATTTGTATGAATGTAATCCTAGGCTACTTTCTTTCGTAATCAACTCTGCGATCAGCAATGATGTGTTTTTCTGTATACAATAATTAAAAGCGTGTTTAGATAAATAAAAAAGACGCATGATTTATATTTAAATTACTGTTTTCTTAATTAACAATACCAATTTTGGTATAATATGACTGCAAAATGCAACAAAATGGCTATGCGTAATGTAGTATCTCGTGGAAGACCCTAACGGATGTATGTATCGAGGTGTAGATGTTTAATGTGACACTCGTTAACTTAGCTCAAGAACAATAATAATGTCCCTTCTCACGCGTCTCCCCTGTGTATCCCTTCAAGTCTCTGCGCCCTCTCGTGGGGTCGCTGCCTTAGCTCTAGTGTCTGCGCCGCTCGGGAGGGAGAATAGCTCTAGAGAGCGCGCGCAACTTGAATTCGCATGCAGTTGTAGAGATTAAGATCCCCACAACTCGGCTGAAAAGGCATCTGTTCCAGATGACTACAGCACAGAGAACCATGGCTTCATGTATTCGGCGCATGAACTGGTTTTCTTAAGACCTTCGCCAGGCACCTCACGCTCAACATCGTAAGAATTGTTCGATTTAACTCGCACAACTTTATAGGGGCCAAGATACTTGGCGCAAAGTTTTTTGCCAGGTCCTACCTGCACTCTCTTAATCGCAACTAAGTTGTTAATTTTATATTTAGTTGGCTCGCGTCTTCTCAAATTATAAGTTTTACGATTTTCGTTCTGAACTTTACGGATTTGTTCTTTAGCCTGTTTTCGTAATTGATCACGATCCTGCTCGAACTGTAATCGGAATTTTTCTTCTATTGCACTTTTAACGGTTAAGTCGTTCTTTTGCTTCATTTTTACTCCAGTCAACAGTTCGAACGGGGTCATGCTTATACTTCTATGAAAAGTGGAGTTTACAGTCTGTTGAACTATAAGTACATATTTATACTATTTCGTAGGATCATTCATCGCAAGCTTAGTTAAAATGGAGATAATCATTCGATTAAGCCTTTCTACTTGTCCGTTTGCTCGCGATAGACCAGTTGTGACTCAAAGACGGTCGTGAACTGCTTGTCATACCGCAGGACATGCAGACCGAATTCATTCTGTTGGCTTATGGTCGAGGTCACTTTTCTGCGAAGCGTACCGAAGAAGCTGTCAAGCAAGAGTACTATATTCCGATGGTATCCAAAAAAACTGAAAATGTAATAGCAAATTGTGTCCCATGTATTTTGGGGAATAAGAAAGCAGGTAAACAAAAGGGTTTCCTCAACCCATTAACTAAAGGTGATTTGCCTCTACACATATATTAGGTGTTGGAATTAATTCGTAGCGTTTTTTAATGAAAGAATGTTATTTATTTCACATGAGCATTAAAAAATACATTAATGAAAGTACTTCCCATCACTTGTAAAACGCTACGAATTAATTCCAACACCTAATATATGTGTAGAGGCAAATCACCTTTAGTTAATGGGTTGAGGAAACCCTTTTGTTTACCTGCTTTCTTATTCCCCAAAATACATGGGACACAATTTGCTATTACATTTTCAGTTTTTTTGGATACCATCGGAATATAGTACTCTTGCTTGACAGCTTCTTCGGTACGCTTCGCAGAAAAGTGACCTCGACCATAAGCCAACAGAATGAATTCGGTCTGCATGTCCTGCGGTATGACAAGCAGTTCACGACCGTCTTTGAATTTATATAGTACATCGTTACGCATCATATAATCGTCATATGGTTTCTCTTTTAAAACCTCTAAGATGGCCCGTAGCTCCGGATCGCTTTTCTGCGCCTTCATGACCTTTAATATAATATTATCTTCGCTACTAATCGCCATAACGGCTAAGCGCATCTACGTATTTCATCCTAGGACTAGCTCTATGTTCAACGATTACGTCAAATTCCTCGACCATCAAAGCCCATCTCGTAATCTTAGCGGATAACTTGACTTTACTTAGAGTTTGTTTGAAAGCTATACAATTAGTTAGGATCTTAAATCGCATGCCAAAAGATAGTGTCTGAATTTATCTAACGTTCTTATTACGATTAAAACTTTGAGCTCGTAGCTAGTATATCCGGATTCTGTTTCTGTCGTCTTGCAATTCATATAATATACTGGATGTAGTTTGTTATCTTCCGGGTTCTTCTGCAACAAGATTGCCCCTAAATCATCCTTATACGCATCAGTATGTAACTCAGTTTCGAATTTAAGATTAAATATCTTTAACACCTGGCTATTACTTAAATCCGATTTCAGCTGCTTAAATGATTCTTTTTCCTTTACATCGGAACGAATTTTCCTTTCTTAGCAAATCACTCAAAGAGTGATTGCCTTAATCGCGTAAGATTCTATGAATTTTCTGAAATATCCCGATAGACCGAGAAAGCTCTGAACATCTTTTAACGTACGCGGCTCTGGGAAATTCGAAACTGCCTGAATCTTCCTGAGAAGGGTGAATTGTACCGTTCTCTATTATGTACCAAAGGTACTCAACCCTTGATTGCAACAATTGACATTTACTTTTATTTATGTCGAGACTGTAATTGCTTGCGACTCGAAGAACTTGACGCAATTGTCTGATGCCCTCTTCTACATCAGGCGCAATTATTATTAAATCATCTAGATATAATAACAAAATTCCTTCGTTAACCAAAGGTCGGAAAATTTGATTTATAAATCGTTGAAAAACGGGTGGCGAATTGCACAATCCAAAAGGTATCCACTCGTTTACCTGATTTTCGACAATCTCTTTTTCTTTCATGGGTAATCGTCGTGGAGCTTGGAATATAGGCGTCTCATCCTTCAACGTTATGCTCAATTCGATATCAGTCGTCTTAGATTTGTTCGGCTTATATTCTCGCATCATACCTTCAACATTTTTAGCTTCTTTGTCAATTATTGTATCTGTACAAATTGCTTCGTCTTTTTCTGGCTGTAATTCTATTTGTGAGAAAAAAATGGAAACATTAGCTTGGAAATCGCGATACCATCTTTATCAATCCTTACTTCGGCTTGAATTATTAGGTCAGTGCCTAAAATCACATCATCATTTAGGACTTCGGACGAAATTACATGGAATGCTAACGGAAAATCGACATTATCTATTGTGACCATTGATTGGAAATAACCGAGCTTTACTTGACCCTGTGCGATGTCTATTAAAAGGACTTCTGATTCATGCAACTTTAATATTTTAAAAGTTTTAAAAACATCTTCACGCATTAAAGAGAGGTGGCTACCGGTGTCTAATAATGCATACAGACTCTTATTTTCGATTATAATCTGCTTGAATATCCGATTCATGTCGACTGCTTTAACAAGAATATTTGACATTACCTGCGTAGTGTTGGACTTATTTTTATCGGGACAATGTTTGGCTTCATGCTCAAAGTTATTACAATGAAAGCATTTTTTCTCTTTATCTCTAAATTTACATTTGTCTGACCTATGTCCGCTTTTGCCACAGTTGCAGCAACGTTCCCCTGATTTAGTTGTCTTCTTTTCCTCTTTTACCGATTTGGCGTCGTCCTTGTTTGCCTTGTTTGTTACTTCTTTCTTCGGATTATTCTTCATGGCTGTAGTTCCTCGTTTTTGTATCTTCTCATATACACGGAAGCGGGACCTGAGCTCGTTATAATTTTGAGCTCCATATAACATCACCTTTCTATATATTCTGCCATACCATCCGGGATACCATCGATGATGTACTGTATCGTTGATTCGACGTTTATACCTCCTTGCGACGCTAATTCCCTCATAGTTAGGTAGTATTCTTGAATACTCTCATCCTTCTTTAACTTCTTTTTGGCTAACTTTCGGTGGATGTCTGCACTGTTCACTCGCAAGCTGAATTCTTCCTTCAGAGCTGCTTTCAATTTATTCCATGTTTGCACAGTACTCAATCCCCGCACAAACGTTTTAGCGACACCCTTTAGAGACTTGTGATCAATTTTTGAATGTCATTCCACTGAAACAGAGTGGCTAACTCCTCAAAATCCGAAATCCATCTTTCAATCGTATAATGGTCGCTCCCATCGAATGGACGGATAGTATCTTCAACGTCTTTGAAATTGAAAGTAATCTTCGTACTCTTTTGTCGTCCCCTTCTTGGCAAATCTCTCTTCGCTGGCCTCGGAGTCAGTGCTACTAATGGCCAATGACGGAATATTTATTTTGTCATCTGCTCGCTGATTTTCTGCGTCATCAACTCGTTCAGCGCCTCCTTGCTGTAACTCATCTTACTGTAACTCACCAACGTTCTAATGTTCACGAGCGCTCGCGTAATTCTCTGTCGCAGTTCTTCTTTGGCGCCGAACGTAGTTCAAGCCCAGGATATTGCATATAGATGTCAGATCACCAAACGAGAAAATAGCAGAGTATTCTAATTTTGCACGAAATTCAACTGAAGCATCGTCGAAATCAAAACTACTGAAATTACACAGTTGGTTGCGACTAGTGCGATCTCCGTCTTTTTCGAATATAAATTTATACAGCGCGTATACGGCTGCGCGCGACGACGTTCGTATCTTGTCGGTGATTGGCTTAATCTTTCCTAGTCTCCATGTTTATCACTAATGCCCAATCGTCTTCAGTTTGCCCTACAAGCAAAATGACCGATACTCACGCTCGTCAGTCTTCTCGAATGTTCCTCTACCAACTTTCGTATCCTCTTTCTCCCTTTCGTCTCGTCTTTCCTCTTTCGTCTTTCGTTGCGTCTTTCTCTTTTCGTTGCGTCTTTCTCTTTTCGTCTTTCGTCTCGTCTTTCGTCTTCGTCTTATCCTTTTCGTCCAACTTCTTTCGTCTTTTCGTCTCGTGTTTCTTCTTTCGTCTTTCGTTGCGTCTTTTTCCTTTCGTCTCTCGTCTCGTCTTTCGTCTTCGTCTTACTCTTTTCGTCCAACTTCTTTCGTCTTTTCGTCTCGCCTTTCTTCTTTCGTCTTTCGTTTCGTCTTTCTCGTCGTTATTTCTACGTAACGTCGTCGTCGTTGTTCACTACTTGGCGTTGTTTTCCTCGTGCGAGGTGTCGTTTGTCATCCTTACGTAGAGCGTCATTCCTCGTCACTTTGTGCGAAGCGTCGTTCTCGTCTCTCGCGTGAAGCGTCGTCATCGTATCTCGTGCAAGGCGTCGTTCGTCGTACCTCGTGCAGAGCGTCATTCGTCGTTCTCGTGCAGAGTGTCGTTCCTCGTACCTCGTCGTTCCTCGTACCTCGTGCAAAGTGTCGTTCTCGTCACAATAAAAACCTAGCTCGATCCCAGCTGAGCCTCCAATTATGTAGGATCTCGTGGAAGACCCTAACGGATGTATGTATTGAGGCGTAGATATTAATGTGACACTCGTTAACTTAGCTCAAGAACAATAATAATGTCTCTTCTCACGTGTCTCCCCTGTATGTCCCTCTAAGTCTCTACGCCCTCTCATGGGATCGCCGCCTTAGCTCTAGCATCCGCGTCACTCGGGAGGGAGAGAATAGCTCTAAAGAGCGCGCAACTTGAATTCGTATGCAGTTGTAGAGATTAAGATCTCCACAGTAATAAAATAATGAAATTTTGCTTTTTTTGCTACGTTACATTCTGTCACTGTAAAGTGTATTATTTTACTATTTGTGTACGTATGATGAATATATTAGGTGTAGTAAAAAGAAATCCATTATTTTTCCAATAGATGGTTTTAGTAATCTGTATCTCGTCTACGCGTAATATCAAATTATACCACAAATGTAGGTAACTTGGGACAACATGTATTTTTGTTAGATTCAATCATGGCTCCAATTATGAATCTGTAAAACTTAAACTTTCTTTAGAGACTTATGGATGGATTCCATGCTATCTCAAGTTACCTGCATTGTCCCAAGTCACATTTGCGGTACTTAATTTGAGTTATTTTTAATTATTTCTATAGGTCGCCACTGCTTCTACTTAATTATATTCTTAATTTAACTAAAACAATGGAGTTGAATAATTTAATTCAAGCAAATGTATTAAAGAGAGCAAGATGAGTGCAATCTCAATTCTAGCAGTAAAATTAGGAGTTAAAATAGATACCAAATGAAGGATCTTATTGAGCTGAATACAAATATATATTTTTATTTTGCACCAATTTTCTGTTTCAAAGTTATAGGGTATATATTTATATAATATTAATGTATATAATGTGTACATATATTGCACATAGAATTACATTTTAAGATTTGGATATATGAAAGAACATTTTAAGAAAGTATCAGTTTAGTCATTTATTAATTGTGCCGAGTACGATTGATAGACAACGTGAACATTTCCAAACCTTCATTTAGAATGCAACCATAGCTGTGACACCATGCAATACATCATATGACAGTCATAATATGACTGCAGTATCCAGCAATGGATTCCAGATTCGTAATCATAACAAGCCACGATGGCTTCTCAACCTATCTTGGAACTGTCCGTAAGGATAAATTGGTACTGATCGACTCCACTTCGATATCTGGATTTAGTCTATCCTTATTTATTTACTCTCTATCTCGTTCTATCGAGACAAGGAGATAAATGGAAATAGATTTAGCTTGCAAGTCGAGTTTTAGACAGGACTGATCTATAATATATATAATGATAGTGTGATTGTGCCGCACATAATAAACAACCGTTTTAAATTTCGGATCTTTGGAACCCTATATATAACGTTGAAACGGAAAATCGGTGCAAAATATATATTTGTATTTAGCTCAATGAAATCTTTTATTTAGTATCTATTTTAATCCTTATTTCATTATGCTAAAATTGATAGTATATTTCCTATACCCATTTGACTGCATTTTTAAATTTAAATTTAGATTATTATTTACTAAATGGTGTGTGCATATATTAATATGGACATTGTTTACTTCAAAACTAACCATAGAAATGGATTGATTTACATTTTGACACACATAAAAATAATAAAATGTTATTTTTAACAACAGAAATTGAGTTACTTGTTATTATTGCTTTTTTAATATTTAATAGTGCATTATGTGTATTTGTAGAAATAAATTTATTATATTCTTTTATTAGTTCTATCAATTCTAATGGAGAGAATGGTGTTCCTGTTCAGTTTTCTTATATTATATTGTTGGAGAAGCGAGAGTTCCGCATCTAAGTCGACAAGACAAATATCACTTTGCTCCAGTACATGTAATATCATGCGCTTTATGATGTTTTTAATTTTATCATGCAAAGTTTCTTGCTCGGAGATTATAATCCTTGATTAGTTTGAGAATTAATTTTTGAAGTATTCTTTGCTTTGCTCGTGTATTTGAAAATTTTCTGTGTCTGAATATTTCTCTCAAGAAAACGTGTTAACTAATTACAATTCTCGTGGCGTAATATTTCGCCGAGAGATGTAATAGCGAGTCTTCTTCGTAAAGATACGGATTCTATCCCGCGGCAAATAACTTCCATCTGATGAGCCACTGACGCTCTTATTCTTGGACGTGGTAGATTTCTGTAATTATTTTGCAATTTAGATATTATTAAAATAAAGTTTTATTTCTCAAAGAAACGCTCTTTAAACGATAAAATTCATATGCATTCAATTTTACATGATTACACATGTTAGCTCGTCATTTTAGTATCACTCGTTAAATAAAAATGCAACATTTCACGCACGTGCACGCGCAAATACAATACCTAATTAACGATTTAATTAAAACGGACGTAATTAATTATTTAAATCCTTTACTTGAAGCTACAGTTTGTAATTTATAATTTGTAAAGTCAAGAACAAAAATGTTGCATATACTGAGATATCTAATTATAAAATATTTTATACTTGAACATTTTTTAATTTTTATAAGTAATAAAAAATAGTGGAAAAAGAGAGAGAGAGAGAGAGAGAGAGAGAGAGAGAGCGAGCAGATTTTATTTTGTACGTTAATATATTCATAATATTTTTTGTATACACGTTAAATAAAAATTGCTCTTTCATATATTGATCTAATCTTCTCTATAAATTTATTCTAGCCAGCTTAATTAACACAGTAAGGTCGAAATCAGTTCGAACGCAAAGTAACGAAGTGCATTAAATTTTCTTTAAATACAGTTTAACAGTAATAGTACTGTTACTACCTTCGCCAACACGAAAAGCAGGGGAACAAATTTAAATAGCGAGAAATATCCCGACCACAAGACGATTGATAATTAATTGCAGTTTTATCTGTGGTCTATCCTTAAATCCTCTAATTAAATCGGAAAACTCCTGCTATGCAGTTTTTTCTGTTGGATGAGACGATTCGATGTCATGATAGGTTTTGTTTGCCTTCGTTTTCGCTGTTTCTACGAGGTATTCTTAGTTATTAGTACTCTCTCTCTCTCTCTCTCTCTCTCTTTCTCTCTCTCTTCCCCCCCTTTCTTCTTTTAAAGGAAAGAAAACTTAGGAGAAATTAAACGAAAACTTAATGGAGTATCTGATTGGCGTAAATAAGCGGTTTTCAAATTGTCTGGAGAAATAATCAGAAATAAGAGTTAAGTCTTAATATTAGTTCTTCCTCTTCACTTTTCCATTTCAAACTTTGTTACGCAATTATAGAAATGATTGTTATTTTAAAGATTAAAGGTGATTCTTATTTTAAATCTAGAAAATAATATACCTACGAATTATAATATTTATAAAATTTGTAAATAACACTTGCAATTAACACAATTTTCTTAATTGTAATCGGAATACTTATTTAAAAATAATTGGAAATGAACGCTACCTTGATGAGATATTCTTTTAAGCTCGAAAACATTACTATATTTGAAATATACATTATTACCATCGCAATTATTACTTTTTATGTTCATTTATTTTTTGTCTTAATATAAAGTATTTCTTTGGGACATATTTCTCTCTTTTATAAATATATTTCTATTACCGTGTAATATGCAATAAAAATAAATACGTGCATACCAGCGAAATGTAATTGAAAATTGAGTTATCATAAATTGGCGAAATGTCAAACTCTTGTCACTTATTCTAACCTGTTGCGAAAATATCGCGGAGTAATACTAAAAATAAAATGCAACGTTTCAGAAAAGAATTTGGCAGCATGAACGATTGCGCAGTTGCACCTTTTTTATCATTTTGTGAAAACAGGAAATAAAAAATAAAACGAAAGTGCATGAGAGACAAATTCGATGTATGCGATCAATGCGCGTGAAAGGGCATGTCGAAACATGACACGATGGCATACATACATAGGAGGACGAAGCAAATCAATGTTTTGGTCGTTATAATATAATAGAAATAGAAGTAGAAATAGTCAATTGTTCTCTTTTGAAAGTCGAAAAGGCCCTTTAATCCGAGGAGCAGCGCGCGGCAATTGTAAATATTTGAATGTTTGCCTTTTAAAACGCTGGCGGCCAAAGAAGAAAGCGAATTGGGCGCGTTTCGGGTCACCACACGTGCAAAATCGAGAAGGAAATTATGTCGAAGTTTGATTGTGATTCGTGATTCAACGAGGAGACGAAGGAGACGCAAGAAAGGCGGAACTCTCTTTCTTCTCGAAGTTGCTTTCTGCAGTAATACCGTCTTGTGCAAAAACGCATCGTTAATAAAGCGCTGAATATATTTCGAATGTCTTCATTATTGCATACTTGATTGACTATAATGCTATTGGATGAATTATGTTCTATATCTGTTAAATATCACGAGGAAAGCTCGCCGGAAGTTTCTGTTCCAAGAGACTTGCATGCATTTCTTCTGAAGATCGGCAGCACCGTCGCTTTAACAAATGTACGATATCCGTAACATAGGTAAATTCTCAGATAAACATTTGGAATTACAAAGCTCGGATACTGTGATCGGGATTCCTAATGTAAATACGTTCCGAAAATGCGAGAAAACAAGACACCGCGAGCGGAGCTCACTTCACGTCCTTCCGCTGAGATATTTGAAATGGATATCGATCTCTCATTTTGATTCCAATAAGGACGATTGGCCTTTCTTTCGCGGGACGAATTTAGATTCCATCGAGGCATCCACCGGGTCACTGCATAACGGAAATGTTACGCGAAATTTACAGCAATTCGACGAAAAGCGAGGCTGGTTATAACACAAAAAAAACATCGCGCAAGGAATCAATAGAGAAAAATGAAAAAATTTGTGCAAAGTGCAAAGTTCGCCGTTAAGATTTAAATTAGTGCTTCTGAGAACAAAAAGAAGACGATACAAATTTATAACATTTCAAGACGCACCTGTTCAATTCTAAAATCGATGTAGTTTCTAGAAATTTGTTTTGTGCAAAAAAAAACTATGAAAAAAAAATCTGTATCGTCTCTTTCGTAATACTTGACTTTATCATAACTCTGCTATTATTTCAACTACTTTTTTAATGTTACTTTTAAATGATATACTTTATATGTTTTTACATCATATGTAAAAACTGTATGTACTAAGCTTTTTCTAAATTTTTACGAAATTCAATAAAATGCTTCTTTCATTTTGTTGAATGAGGCGAACAAGATTAGAATTTTGCCACCGTATTGGCTGCGATGTTGTCAGTGCCAATATAACAAGATTCTAATCCAGCTAGCGATCTAGCAGGAAATCAAGCATCGTATGCCGCAGGCTTAATTAATACTAAGAGCAAAATATAACGTTCTATCATATAAGGATACACATGTGGCAATTTCTATCACTTTACTATTTAGCCACTAGGCGGCTATAATGTTATACAGGGTTGGCCATATTCGACGGAAAGAT